TAACCTTTTTTTATTAATTAAAATTAATTAGATTTTAGGTTTTTTAATTAACCTTTTTTTTTTCAACATTAACCTTTTTTTATTAATTAAAATTAATTAGGTTTTAGATTTTTTAATTATTTTTTTAAATTAACCTTTTTTATTAATTAAAATTAATTAGGTTTTAGGTTTTTTAATTAACTTTTTTTCAAAATTAACCATTTTTTATTAATTAAAATTAAATAGGTTTTTAGGGTTATTTAATTAATTATAATAAATCAGTTTTTTCATAAAAAATCACCCAAACATTTTCTTTGTTATTTTCATCTTATTTTTATTTTCCTAGATAAAGTGTATTTTTTCTATTATGTAAATACTCCTAGTATGAAATAGTTGTAGGTTTTTATTTTCCATATTTCACTATTATTTAACTGCCCAAAGCTCTGTAATAGCATATTTTACATTTCCACGCCTTTACCATCTGCTACTATATTTTATGCAATTGTTAGTAATTAGGGTTTGTATGACAAGATAAAAATGAACGATAGAAAACCTAATTGTAAGACTAAATAACTGAAATGAACACACTTGCATACTCACACCTTTAGGGTAACCTCTCTTCATTACCTTTCGGAATAACGGTTATGTTCGTCGAACGTAGGGATGCTTTAGCAAATACCCTCGAATAAAATATCATAAGTCCCTCGATGACCCTTCGACGTTGCCTACGAATAACATAATATAGCCCCTTACGAAACTTCTAAAGCATCCTTACAAGTTGCCTTCGATGACCGTAAGTGACCATACGCCTTTCCCTTTACATCCAATAGATGAGACTTCTTACCAACTAATGGTATGGATAGTACTATCTAAAGGAGAAGTAAAATAACAAGAAAGACCTTTAGTGGGTAAGAAACTCCTAATTGCTTGCTCATAACTTTTCTCAGAAACAAAACATTTTTCACACATCACTTTCAAAACAACAAATATTTTCAAAAATACTTTGTACGCATTCTTGAGGACTGACACAAGAATCATTACAAAGTTAGCCTAACATTGGCCTTTCAAAATATTTTCAAACAAACACTTACACAAAAAGAAAATTTTTAAAAGTGAGCTAGCGATTAAGAGCCCATGGATAACTACGGATGAAAAGGGTGTTAACACCCTTCATTTTCATAACCTATCTCCCAAACTCAAAATCTATCAAGGTCTTTCCTGTTCTTTTCACCCTTTACTTATTGGATAAAATAAAATTTGGCGGCGACTCTTGCTATCCGTAATATTTGCGATAAAATACAAAACAAGTCAGTTCTCCCACTATATTACAGAATCATTTACCCATAATTCCTTTACAAGAGAGGGGTAAATGGGTCCATAAAACATGTCAAAATAGTATACACATTGTTGATAGGAGACAATATTATGATGATTATGCCCTTGTTCCAACATTTCTTAAATGTCGACAAAGTTTTTCAAAAAGAGTGAACAAAAAGTTTTTGTCACCTTTGAAAGTTCATTTTTTGGTTTAGGGTTAAGAAATTGAAGGAGAGAGAAAACAATTTCAGGGAAGGTTTGAAAACACAAGGAGAAGGTTACAATATGATAAATTAATAATTTATACAATGCTTAAATAGAGTGATGAAAGAAGTGAAGAGATCTGAACGATTCAAAGTTTAGGAATGAAACAAAAGAGAACTCAACTGATACCTTGAAAACAAAAAACAATTTACAACACGACACGGTTGGATATGGATGAGCATTTTTATTCTAATGAATTAATAAAATACGGGGCACCAAATCGTGATTTTTATCTTTACCCAAAAAGGAATAATTGCCAAAAGTTATTCAAGCATTTTTGGTGGCTTAATGAAGTAGTGGTACAACGTCATGCTTCTTAGCAACAACAAAAAAAATTTAATTTAACCATTAATAGCTCTGAGTCTAGAAGACAAAAAGTCTCAAAGGGGTTCTAACTTAGGACCTTCTGATCTAGAGTACCTTCTAACTTCAGAAGAGTAACTGGTTTAGAGCCAGTTATCCCAAAGTCATATCTTACCATCCAGAGGCTACACGTACTGAGATTTATCATTTATTCAGGACAATATTTTTCTTTATAAATTCCTTAATATAAAAAACAAATCTATTTTCAACACGGGTTTTGTAAAGATATCATCTTATTGATGGTACGTATTAATAAATTTTAAATCTAAAATATCCTTCTGAACATGGTCTCTGATAAAACGATGTTTTATCTCAATGTGTTTATCCCTAAAGTATAATATAGGATTCATAGACAAATAAATAGCAGAAGTCTTATCACAGAAGATAAGAATGTTACTCTCTTTTAGTTGATAATCTTTTAGTTGACTATTCATACAGAGGATCTGATGCTACATCCAAATGTTGTAATGTACTCAGCTTCTATTGTTTATAGTGCAATTGTTGATAGTCTTTTACTAGACCATGAGATTAGATTTTCACCCAGAAACTGACAACTTCCATTGATGCTTTTCCTTTCAAGTCTATCTCCAGCTCAATCCGCATCACAATAACATAATACTTATAATCTTTTGATTTATTATAAATCAAACCAAGATTAGTAGTACCTTTTAGATATATAAAGATCATCTTAACAAATGTTAACTGGGATTCTCTAGTATTAGATTAGAATCTAGAACACAAACACACACTAAAAAAGATATCTGGTATATGAGGAATTAGGTATAGAAGAGAACCAATCATAGCTTTTATGGTGCGGTGGGATAACTGACTTGAGGTTTTTGCGTTTGATCGCAAATGTTGTGGTTAGCAAGAGTCGCCACCGACTTTTCTTTTATCCAAAAAGAAAGTTGAAAAAGCATAGGAAAGACCTTTGAGATTGTTTCTTGAGTTCGGGGGATAGATTATGAAAAGAGAAGGTATTAGCATCCCTTTCATCTATGATTTTCCATGGGCTCTTAGTTACTTGCTAGATCACTTGCTTTTGTTTGAAATTGTGTTTTGTGTAGTTTTTAAAAGTATTTTGTAAAGAGGCCATTGTTTAGGCAATCTTTGTAATGATTCTCGTTCGTAAGAATGTATACAAAGATGTTGATCTTTTGAAAATGTTTTCAATTTTGTAAGATGTTTTGAAAGTGTATGTGATTGTTTTGAAAATAGCAAGGATGTTTGTTTTGAAATGGAGCAAGTAATTAGGAGAAATCTACCTACTCAAAAGTCTTTCTTGTTCATTTTCTTTTCCTTTGACATTGTTGTCTTACCATTGATTTGGTAAGCAACCCTATCTTTGGATGCAAACGGGACGGACGTGGGTCGTCGTATAGCCATGATTAGCAATGTTGCAAGGTATCTTAGCATTCTTTTTTAGGGACTAAGATCATTTTGTAAGGCAACTTTGAATAGCGTCATCGAGGGACTATGATCTTGTATTTGTTTGTTTTTTGCTAAGATACCTTACATGTGTAATATGGCCATTTTTGTAAGGCAACCAAGTGGGATAACCCTAGGGGTGCTTGTGTGCAAGTGTATTATTTCCATGCTTGATTTAGTCTTGAATTAGGGTTTTGCTAAGTATTGATTTTAGTCTTGCCATACAAACCCTAATTACTAGCATGTTATGTAAATGCGATAAATTGCGAAATTTAAAGTTACTACGCTATTACAACATTTATGAATGGGAATTGCAATAATATAAACTTAATTAACCTATTACAACCAAATTGAATATTGTACAAATAATTGAAATAAATAATATACAAGATGAATTAAATATGCAAGAAATGTAAATGCAAAGAAAAGATTTTTTATTTGATTTCTTAATATGAAGGAGGTTTTGCCCTAAAAAAAAGAGTAATTAAATTAAACTTAAGTTAAATAAAAAAAATATTTAAGAAAAGATTTTGTAAATGAAACCCTAAATCTAATTTTAGTTGATTAAAGGAAAATAAGCTTTAAAGAAAAAAGTATCTTTTTTATATTTTTATATTTGTTGTCTTGAAAATAATATGTGGTGCCATGAAATATTTTTGGTCCTTTTTATATTATAAATAAATATATTTTGAATAAGTAATAATCTAGTTTTAATTTACAAATAAATAAATAAGAGTAAAATAAAGTATAATGAATAAAAATAATTTTTATTATGTGAAAAAATATTGAAATTACGTCAAAAATATAAATCTATTATTTTTATAGATTTTATGATTTTTTTTTGGTATTTTAGAAAATATATTTAAAAGAAATATTCCTTTAGAACTTTTAATTCAAATTAGTTCAACATGTTCTGAATGTTAGTAATGACAAAATGGCCAAACATTAGGTAATGTAACCATTGTTGGCCAATATATTCTTAGTGATAATAAGGGTGAATCAGTAACTTGTAAAAATTGTAACTGGTATGAATTATTTCGTTGGTTAAGTTACTCATTTTGAGAAACTGTTTCAGTTCGATCAAAAAATGTTGACGCAGTAGACAAGTTTATCAAAGGAAGTTAGACAAATTAGACAACTTATAGACTGCAATTGCAATTGCAGTTAGACAAATTTATAAAAGCAGTAGAAAATTTATAAGAGCAGATTGCAGATTCAAAGGAAGTTTTATAAAAGTAGACTGCAATTGCAATTGCAGTTAGACAATTTATAAAAGCAGTAGAAAATTTATAAAAGTCATAGTTACAGTTTGTTATAAACTTGTGAACATTTCTACCTTTGATAAAAATTGATTGCAATTTCAATCAAAATAGAATGTGAACTAAATTTTGCAAGTAAGCACATAGCATGAAGCAGTAGACAATTTATAAAACAAAGCTACAAATAAAAGTTGATTGTAATCAAAAGTGATTTTGATTATAAAAAAATTGTGAACAGAACTACTAAATCACAAAGGAACATGGGCAGTAGATAAAATTCTAAAAGAGTAGTGAACTAATAAAATTCGAAATCTCAAAAATGAAGCTTACCGTGTTTAAACCATAAAACTAATGTTGTAACTTAATTCTAAACCGATTCCGAATGATGTAATGAACTGCAACGCAAACCAATGTCGAAACAAAACAGCACCAAAAACAAAATGCAAACGCAAGCTGAACCAAAACACTAAACCAGAACGAGGTAATATTAAAAACAACATAGATGAAAGTTGAAATCAAAGAATAAGCTGAGTTGTAAACAGTTAATGCAACAATTCAATACCAATTCACAAGCCACAATCAAAGCCCCAGCAGAAAATCAACACAACAACAAGGCTATAGCGAAAAAATCAAAGAAACAGAAAACAAAGAATCAAGAAACCGGCGAAGGCATTTCAACGAACACTTTGTAAGCCAGATTGAAAGCGAACACCTAAGAAACCACGCCCAGAACCGGTCGTCACTCCAACCAGCACCGCACCAGACTCACTACCGAAGCCCCGCCGACAACGCTCACTCACGGCCATCGCAAACAGCATCCCGCCGCAGTCTTCTCGACGGCAACCACCACAGGCTCAGCTCACGGCCGCACCAGCCAGCTCCTCCGACCTCCTTCTGACGCGAACACCATCCTTTCCGTCGACCTCAACAACAACCGCGTCTGTTGCCGCTGGCTCTGGCCTGACTCCGCCACCATCATCGCCGCTCAGCCCGATACGGCTCCTTCCAACCATTCCACATCGATTCGCGTCTGTCTGCCACTACAAGTAAGATCTAATGCCCTTTTTATTAAGAACATACTCTGGATTTGTTGTTTGAAATTTTTGAAGTGAGGAAGAGAGTTTTTGGCTTCTGCAGAAAGAGAGAAAGGGTCGATCCTTTTTCTTTGTTGATTTTGGTTTCTCACTCGTGATCAATATATTGTTATAGCTTTAGTTATATTTTTTTTTCAAAAAAATTGTCTAGTGTCAAGCAATGAGTGGATGTGATGGTTTGTTGAAAAGTCAAATTTTGTGAGAAATAAGTTAGATCATGCACCGCCCAATCTGATGTTGTTCTTTTCTTTTTTTTTTATTTGATTTAATTTCTTCTTAACTAATTTTGTTACTCATAGCATTTAGAGAATTTAAGTTTTTTTTTTGGAATCTCATTAGGTTTTGGGTTCAATTTGTTTAGAGAAGTTAATAAATCATCCCTTATTTTATACATGATATTTTTTAGTGATGACGTAGTTATGAAAATGTGTCTAAAATATATTTGAATTTTTGAAATTTCTGGTTCATACTGTAAATTTTGCATAAATATTAGAAATTTTGTTAAATTTTTAAATTTTTACTATGTCATTTGGTTATCAGAAATTTGAAATTTTCGGTATCAGATATTTTAAATTTTTGATATTTTTCATCATTAAAATAACAAACTGGAAATTTGAAATTTCTGGTATATGAAAAATATCAAAATTTCAAATTTTTCGGTATTTTTTTACTCTAAATACAAATCGGAAATTTGAAGTTTAACTAAAATTTCCGTTATATCGAAAATTTGAAATTTTCGCTAAAGGTTTTCTATCGGAAATTTGCTAAATTTCCGGTATATCGTCAACGGAAATTTGTAGAATGTAAAGAGTTTTTGGTATGCGACAAAAATCGGTAGCGGAAATTTGCTCAAAATATCGAAAATTTCGAAAATTATCCCTTTGATCAATAGTAATTTTTTTTGACAAAAGTAAAAAATTTAGAGTAAATAGTGAAAGGAGTATTTTGGGAATATTAAAATTTGGGAGGGTGGCATGTATAAAATGGGAGGTGGCATGTTAATTTCTCATTTGTTTACTACCACTTCAAGAGAAATTAACTTGTCACGCCCCACATTATACATGACATTCCCGTAAATGGTATGAAAAGACTAAATCATCCGGATCCAAATTATTCATCACAAATTCTAAATTTACGTGATCAATTAGATTTTTTAAATTTTTGGATGATACCGGAAATTTCAAAGGTGATGCTGGAAATTTCGTGAACAAATAAGAATTTACTGTAGATTTGTGAAATTTCCAGTATTTTGTATCGGAAATTTCAAAATATCGGGTATTTTCATACCAGAAATTTTAAAATATATGGTATTTTCATTTACCATTTATATCAGAAATTTTGAAATTTCTGGTACGTCACAAAATACCAGAAATTTTGAAATTTCCGGTAGTTCAATTTTTTTTCAAAAATATCAAAAATTTAAAAATTTCCGATAGTTTATAGTTTCCTAATATTTTCTTATTTTGCAGTGAAGACCAGAGGTAAAGATGGTTCTGCGGACAGACCACTGATAGAGTTGATGTTGAAGCGCGGACTTACGAGGCGCATGCTTCAGAGCTACGGGCAGGACGTCGTTCTCCGACCGATTTTCACCGAAAATGGATGGTTGAGCAGCAGGCGCAATTCCACGCACTCTGTCGTCGGGGTGTTAGAGTCGTTTAAAAAATCATGTTTTTATAACTACCGGAAATCAGAACCATCCAAATATGTCGATAAAATTTCAATCGTTTTAAAAACCATATTTTTATAACTATCGAAAATTTCAGTTAATTTGAAATTTCCGGTACACCGGAAATGTTAAATACACTATGAGAAATTTACGCATACCAGAAATTTTGTAGGGGTGTATCAAAAATTTGGGTGGTACCCGAAATTTGGATAATACTGAAAATTTCAATCCTTCTACCAAAAATTTAGTCCAAAAATAATGTACATCTCATCCAAAAATAAAAGAGGAATAAAAAAATTGAGAAATAACATGTTTAATTTAGAGAATGACATGTTAATTTCTCCCTCTTCAACCATTTACATAATTTACATCTCTAAGTCATCCATTTATTTTTATCATGACTTTTATTCTTTTTATTTTAGAATATATTATTTAGGTTGGTGTTTTATTTTAATTAACTATTAATTAGTATATATGTTTCTAAATTAGGCTATCTTTTTAGTTAGATATACTAATTTAGTTTAGCTAATATTATTAGAAAAAAATGACCAAAAAAATTATATTAGAATTTGATTTTAATTTTCTTTTAATATTTTTTTTATTTAAAAATTATAAAAATATTAGATTTCTTTTTTTATTTTGATTAAACGTTTGGTTGATCTCTTGCTATATTTCCTTAGGATATTCCATTAGGTGATTAAATTTCATTTTGATCATTCAGTGTTGAATTAGATGTTAAGGTCAAACCAATTGCATGATGACATTAGGTTAATTTCCCTTTCAATCTTAACATTATGACTATTTTTGCATGACAACAGTGGGAATAAGTCTTTCCCTTAGACTTTTCTTTTGCATCTTCTTAAAACAAAACTCTTTATTTTAATTAAAAAATCCAAAAACACTTAAACAATTTCAAATACTTTCAAAAATTAAAGGAGGAAAGACTTAAGTATCTTTTGCTTAAGGGAACCACTTAAAAAACACTTCAAAAAATCCAAATCATTTTTCTAAGAGCATTTTTCTCTTTAAAACCTTTTCAGTAAGGATATGTTAATTTTATTCTACACAATATAATAATGTGTGAGTCTGCAAAGGTCGAGCAACAAACGTTAACGGTTAGAATGCGAACTTAGCATCATCCATAAAAAACATACAACAAACAAACATTTTTTAGAAGAACTATGGTGTTCTGATTCCTTACGGGGATACTGTTCTAGACTGGCCCGACAACCTGTATGGGCCCAGTCTAGAGTCATCCTTCAATAAGGTGCATACGACACATCCCGGATCTACCCCAACCTGCGTCAAGCATCATCGATCGTGTGCCCTCCTGGACCGTCACTGACCTACGACATCTGACGAGCGTCTCTCAGTCGGTCCGACCTCAAGTCGCCCAGACAACCAGGAACCGACCAGAATGCTGCCTATAACCTACCGCCTTCTCATAACCAACGGCTAGTTGCGGGCACACATGTCCGGTATGACCAAGTCCCCGCAGTTACCTTTTTTTACGGACCCGCATATCTAGGCCCAAAAATAGGAACCAATGGTCACGCGTCAGGAGCATTATATAAACCCTCATACATGTGAGGGCCAGGTACCGAATATTCATTATTCACTACTAAAACCCTAATTGTTTACTTGTATCTCTTTGTTCCCACACTTAATTAATCATCAGAGTGTCTTGCAGATACAATCCCCCTTTTTCCTCCTCGACGTTACAACCCGACAGAAGATCATTATCCGGCCACCTTGCAGGTTCTGATCAACCGGTAAGATCAGTGGCGCCGTCTGTGGGAAACTATCTTCCCCGTTTTCTATTCCTTGAAGTCTGAAAACCAAAGATCCTTTTCATTCAATAATCATGGCTGACAGTGATGATCACCACCTGTCTGGAAAGGCTGCACTTTCCCCAACACACAAGATTAACAGAAGTCAATAACATCCTCACCTCGAGGATAACCTCGACTTTCGTGATGGTCGGTGTTGTACCCCAAAATTTTTCCTCCCATTTTTCTTTATAGCATTCTTTTAAGGGTCTTCAAATGGTCAAGGCACCCAAGGGTTGACTAGTCAAGATGCACCTCCTAAACCAAAAGCCTACAATTATGGTTTGGAGTTTCTCAAGGAAATTTGGTCTTCAAAAGTCTCAAGTGGCTCACATGTTTCTCCATAGGTCCTCAACAAGGCTCATGTCAAGTTTCAAGCCCTACATCACAAGTTTGCTCAGTCAATGGCTCAAATGCTTGAAAATCAACTGTATTGATCAAAAAGTCAACTATGGTTAACATACAGTCAAACTTTAAGATTTTTGGTCAACATCAACATTTTTAAGTGATATTCATCATTTGATCAAGGGTTGATCATGATTTCTCAAGGAAAGTCCTCAGATCATCAAAAGTCAAGATTTGTTAAATTAGGGTTTTCTTAGGAGAAGTCAACTGAACTTTGACCCGACATAACTTTCACATGCTTCATCAACTTTTCCCCAACCAAAGCCCATTTTGAATAAAATTCAATTCTCTACAACTTTTATAATGTTCTCAAGTCCAAAAAATGATTCATTTGGAAGATATGATCTCATACATTATAGGTCATTTTCAAAAGTCAACAAAAGACACTTTTTGTCAAGGAAACTTACATCAAGATGATGTCTTCAAAAGCAAAAATGATAAACATATATATTGAAGGGGATATCTTAGGCTTTCCAAAAAGTCCAAGATCAACTTCAAAAGATGAGAGCAAGTTATGAGGTGCACAAGTTGGACAATTTTCAAGAAATACATGAAGTCAACTTTGAGCAAAATTGCATTTTTAGATTAATGAACCTAACTTTTAGGGTTCAAACATGTTTATGACATACCCAAGTACCTTTAAACCTAACCATGAACTATTGTCATTTTTATTTTTATTTATTTGAATTTTTATTCATTTAAATATGAATTAAATCAAGTAAATTAGATAAAAATATAAGAAATAATGGGATAACGCATTGGGCTTGACTTGACCCATCATGGAGCCCAATATTTCGTGCAAAGACCAACAAAAAATTGTTCAGGTTCATGCAACATCAAGAATGGAAAGAATCATCCAAATATGACAAACTTTCAATATGTTGGATTTTTGTCTCATGGCCTTGAAAGCTTTGTTTCTTGCCATACTTGCTTTTCTCCTAATTCTATAAATGCATAACATTACAAGCAAGAAAGGGCACAAATTCTATACGCAAAAAGCTCTCTAAAAAAGCTCTCCAAAAACTCTCCAAAAAAATCAAAGAACTGGTGCAA